CTGATAAATCGACTTCGTGCGCGGCACATCGGTACACCGTGAAATGCGACTCCAGATTACTTGGAAAGTTACGATCCTAATTAACCATCCACTGACGCATTCGTTGCTGAAATTACCGCTTTCGTGGGCGAGCCGGCGAGCCGCGATGGAAACGAGTTCTGTAATCCAACCGCTGATAAAGTTTCTTAATAACCTCGCCTTAAAATCGCTTTATTAGAAATTAATTGTTTCGTCGGTTGTCTAGGAGCCGCCGACTCTTTTCGCGCCTTTCACGACTTCCAGGAACGACTCGACGGCTCGAGCCATTCCCGTTTCGACTCCCAATCCTCAACCGACTCGGAGATCTTATAAATATTGTTGTGCGAACGATTACTTTGCGAAATTGATGATAAAGCAAATATTAACAACGCTATGAATTATTCTACGCTTAATCGGTTTTTAATCGACTTTTGCTGCAACCACTTCGGCGTACACACATCTTCTAATAAGACTCGTCTGCGTCACGTGCTGTGATTTCACTACTGTGTATATTTTCCGTCGTAGTTTCTTTATCTTTTGTCTTTTAAACATTCAGTTCGCTGGGAAAAATTAAGCGGTTTCTCTAAGCGAACAGTAAACCCACCGACGGCGACTTTCTTTACTATTAGAAAGCTTCTTAATCAATTTTCGTAGACCCATAAGTAATCTGTTGCATTTAATGTAGCAACTATTCATTCAATTTAACCGATGACAAGTGGACAATTGAATAACGATTTTGATAGTCTTTTGATAGTCTAGTCGAGTTTTAGAAACGCTATGATGTTTAGCACGAAAAATAGGATTATGTAGAAAAGTAAATACATCGATGCATATTGCTATAGATATTTCTCTAGCAAACTACGCTGATGCATAAAACATTTATTCACTCCCAATACTCTTCACCGTTGTCAGGTGATCTTTGCTCGTGAAACAAGAAAATCCGCATGAAAGCTACATTGATGCTTCGCAGTTAACATGATCGACCAGCTAATGCAACAGTAATCTGCCATATTAAATCGCTATAGGCCAAGTAAGTGTATAGACCGAGTAAAGAATTTAGCCATCAATGTTTCGCATGATCCAGTTTGCAATTAGATTATATAGCTAAACCAGTCCTGCAGCTAGTCCAGTATCTAGTCCAGTCCCGAATGCCTTCGAAATGATCAACTGCAAGAAAGTATTTCGTCGCTAACGAGCACGAAGCAACGTTAAGCTACAAAAAAAGCCGAGCGCGTTGCTACAGAACAAACAATGACGCGGCGGATTCGTCGCCGAGCGAACAACTAAACAGCAAATCCCTGTGCAAAGTCAACAGTCGGGAAACGGCGAGCGTCTGTCGATTAAAGAGCCATGACGCCGTGAATCCGCAAGCGTGCAAAAAGCGTGGATCGTTCGATCAGAAACTCCGTCAGCCGGTCGGACTATGGTCGGGGCTGGCTCTCACGGTTCCGGGAGCAGTCAGGTGGCTTTCGCCGAGATTTTCCGCGGCGTGGCGGAGCGGAGGATGGAATATGAAGTCGCGCAGTTGCAAATGTATCGCAAATTGTCGTTGCGAAGTGCTTAATGCAGGAGGCGAGAGGCGGTGGCCGTCGAGGTGGCGGAGGAACGAGGACCAGGATTGGGGCGAGTGCCGGGGACGCTCTTAGACGAAGGGAGACGAGCCATTTCCCCCCTTCGTGCCCCTCCCGCCTCCCCCGCGGTGCCCCATCCACGCTGCTTGCTCGTCCGTGCTCGAATTCGAGGCTCTGTTGACGTCAGAGGCGCACCGAGACCGTCATCGGCCACGCTGACGGCGGCGACGACGACGACGACGACGCGCCTAATGGTTCGGTAATGTTCGCCCGTAAAGATAATCGACCGTGAGATCTTCGACCGATGCGTCCCGCTCGCGCTTTTCTTCCTCCCGGATTCCCATGGGACCGCGGATCCCGCGAGCGAGCCGATTTCCCGGCGGAAAGTCCCACTCGAGATCACCGTCGACGTCATCAACGGTGCACTCCCGGAATGCGCCGGGCTTTGATGTCTCGCGACATCGCCCAAGGTTTTCAAATGTTTTCTCCCCGGAGAGTAGAGAACGAACGAAGATGATTTCTGGTCTTAATGCCGCTTCATTTCGACGCGGTTTTATTCCGACGACGGCGGAACGTGTTTTCGAGATGCGCGCGTACGAAAATCTGCCTCGCGACGTTCGCGACGCGGTTCCGCGTTCCAGGATAATGGCGGCGGGTTAAGGAGATTCTGGGGACCATTGTTGCCTCGAGAAGCTTTTATTCTTGATAATTGACGGGTGGCCGGCAAGTTTTAGGGTGTTAATCCGATTTTTCAGAAATGGGCTTGTCGAGCGACGAATTTAATTCGCGGATGAACGAGAGGCTATTGTTGCGGGGGAAATGTTCGGCTATTCGGAATGCGTGGGAAATGATCGAGGTTTAACTGCATCTTCAGTGTTATTAGGTTGTATTGTTCTCTGAAACAATGTATTTTCAGGAACGGAAAGATATTTGATTTGGCTGAAAGGTTTGACTTATTCAGTTACAGAACTGCTTGCTTCGTTTGGAAGCTTAATTTGTTCTTTGATGTGAAATCGGTGTAATGGCAAAAATTCAATGTTTTTATAAATTCGTTTAATAAACACATGTATTGAATGAATAACTCATAAATGTATCTTTACAATCTGAATAATCGTCAATTAAAAAATTAGTGACCCGTCGTTTCGACGGATTCCGTAATCTTAGTGTTAAAAGCAATTGGATTGTTGCAAAAGTAATTTCGGTCTTTTTTCCTAAGCTATCTTCTATTCGTAAAATCGAAATTACTTGTGCAACAACCCAATTATAAGCTCGAAACGAAATAATTAAGCAATGTGGACGATCGAATCTCCGTATTTCCGCGAAAAGATCGAAAAATCGAGGATCAATTAAGTGTCAGACAGAATGATCAGAGTCGATGGCGATTCCCTGTAATCAGTTCATGGGATTTATTAAAACAGCGTTTAATAAATATTTGCTGCACGTGTTTTATCCTGTGTGTCCGCCGACAGAGAAATCTGCATCGGTACCATTCGACTCGAATGTAGATCCGCTGCGGTGCAGTAACATAATGGCCCCAACAAGCCACGAGGGGTTGGGTCGGTGGCTTGGTTGCCCTCAAATCATCACGGGGGTGTGAGGCAAATGACGTTCGGCCACGCGGAAGTAACGCGATAATGGCAGCCATGAAAGGCCCCACCGTGATATCTGGTGCTTTGATGTCCTCTCCCAAAGCTTCTCGCTGCAAAATCCATTCTTTCCACTAACACTTTAAAACCCCTTGAACCGATACAACGCGGGCTACGGCACCAGCACCGTTTCGGGGCTCATCGATCGCGCCGCTTTATTACGATCTGGATGACGTAATGATCTCGATAAAACTACCTGAAACGGCAACTTTTACACGGCAACTGATTTCACAGGCTTTTAACGGCGAATCTCGTTGCGGCTTGGCGCTTGCTGGTCGCGTTCACGCCTTTTCATTCGACGATTTTACATACACACACACGCATACTTTGTCGTTCGTACAGCTTTAAAAAATACATTTGCAACGATTTCGGTAAATATTATAGTACTCGTTCACGTTTATACATAATTATTATTTTGTGGGGAAATTTTCGTGTGTTCGATGGTGTTTCGTGCATTTTCATCGAGGAATTTCAGTCGCATAAAATTGTGGCAGGAAAATTGATCTTCGACCATCTCGCTAAGTGCTCTAATATTCCTTTTAACGTTAATGAGGAAATTGAAATATTAGGTGTAGCAATGAATTTGTGTTTCACAACAACCATATCATTTGCAACTTTATCTTAAATTCAGTATTTCCCTCTACGTATCTCAGGTTTATTTATGGACTATACATTTTATGCAAGAAAATATTATTACGTTATTTAAAACGGGGTGAAATTATTGATAGAAAAAATACAGGTCTCTTTAACTCGTGTCTTTTGCAATTCGTGCAGAAAATACTGAAGAATCTGGCGATATTCGTTGAAACTTCGTGAAACTTGATATTTTTATTCTATACAATAACAACTCTTTATTTGAATGAAAACAATTTTCCTTTTTGATGAATATCATCTATAGAAATTAATCTACAGTCACTTTACAAGATTTCTAACTGATAAAGGTGACACCGACCCTACCTGATTCTTTATGCAGTTAGCTGTTTTTGACGAACATTCTGGTCATATATGACGTAAAAATTTGACGTTTAAATTGCGATTTTCGTAAAAACTAAAATATCATCGTAAATTCTAAGATGTTTTCAATATTCAGAGGCCAACACGAACAAAAACGAACAAATTAAAAGACATAAATAATTATTACCTAGATTAGACGTTTCGAAGAGGTCGCAACAGCTAAGTGATTAAATTCAACTTGTAGAGCGCGTTACCGCGTGGAAACGGTTGCATTTGATCAAAGGCAAATCGCGGGCCAAATTCTAACCAGTTAATTAGTTTCAGGTGCGGATCTCTCTCCCGGGGCGATCAGGAGATCTTCTTGTGGACGGTGCCAAGAGCCAATAAAGGCGAGACAAGGGACCGCTTGCCGTCCGTGAGGGTGAGTTTCCAAAAGTGTTCGCGAACGTACAATCATTCGTCGGGATTCCACGAGTGCGTACTCCTGCCCGCGATCCTCCGGTCGTGCTACATCATTACGATCCCCAAGAGATCTCTATTTATCGAGTTTGCTGCGGCGGCCGGGGCGCTCCGGTGCCCATTAAACAACGAGGCAACGGGGTTCTCGCGCGAATTGCTACCCCGGGGATCACGAAATCGATTCCGAAAACCGTTTTTTACCGGCGGAAAAGAAATACCAAAAGGCGAAATTACGTCTGGAACGGGGGCTGAGGTCGCAGTCTACCGGAACAGAGAGACTCGTCCGTAGTCGCAGTTTGTCGGCCAATGGGACCAGACAGAAACGCAATCGCAATGCAGGCCAATCCCTCTGCCCCGTTCGTCCACCCGCTCGCTCGCCCTCCCGTTCCCGGTAATGACAATCATTACGGGGAATGATTGCAGCGTCGGGTCCGCCAGCGCGCCAGCCGCTATTGGGGGATGGAAACCACCTTATAGAGTCTCTCCTCGGTCCTCGATGCGAGCGGATTGTCACATGCTCCCGGCACGGCAAAGTGTTTCCTCTTCGTGCCGACTTCCTTCGGGACCCGACAGTGCGAAAAGCTCCCTTTATCGACGACCTGACCGCCAACGACGACACGGGAAACCTTCGGTCCCGGTGGGCTGCGAAAAATGGCCGACCGACAGCTTCGATTCGACGGTTCCTCGATCACGTGGACAAACTTAAGTGACCGAGCACGTTCCATTGTCAGTGATCGCGAACACCGAGCGCTGTGTTAGTTGCTGTTTTACTTAATCGAGTCTCAGAGCTTCCGATCCTGTGGAGTTTCGAACGAAGATTTTCGATCAGAATTCGAGACAGTTGGTATACTACGAAGTGACATTTCGATATCGGTGAATCAGTAAGAGGCAAATTCATCGAATGTAACGGACGTGGGACGAGGAGACGTGGAAAAGTTCGCTGACAAGGACCGACGGCGGCCGTGCTGCCAGAAGAATATGGCGGTCGAGGCACCACGTGACCGGCCACCTGTACGGAAGACGGACCTTGAGGTAACTGCAATTGATCGACTACGTAATTACGCATTTCTCTAAAGTCCCTACTAAATGTTAAGCGTATTCTCTTTTGCTGCGGAAACTATGGCCGGTTTCTTCCGCTTTGTGTTTCCGAGAGAATGCGTTCTCGTACACGTTATTGCCCAGAGCCTCTCTGCAAGTACAGAAAAGTATATTACTTCTTTTGATCGTTCTTCTTGTAATTTTAGATGAAAGAGGCTCATTTTTAATATATTATGATTTCACTCTTGTCTAAAATACGATACGTGTTTACTGTAAAAGTTTCACACAAGATTCAATATTGTTCCGCTTATAGTTTTGCTCGATTACGCGACAGATGACCCGATTAGTATTCGACTGAAAGCAGAATTTGAGGAAGAATAGATTTTTGAAATAGTAAATACATCATAAATATTTTTATCTTCTAATGTAATATAGAATTTGGCAAATAAACTATTTTTGAATAGTACTCACATGTGAATATTGTGTAGTTAAATATATTTGAAATGCTATGCAACTACAATTTCAAAAAAGGCTTATTCGCCAAATTTTGTATTATATGAGAAGATTTTAATAATACAGCAATATCCTTGAGTTCGCGCAACCTCTTCGCAATTTTGCAATTCACTATTCATTTTTCCATCGAGTGCGTAAAGTCCACAGTCTACTTCCTGTTTACCTCTTGTCAACGCGTTGATTAATCTTCGGTTACAGTGGTTCTCACTTCGACGAACAGAGTCTAGTTCGACAGGAATTACAATCGCTTTTGCGCTGGCCTAATATTGGCCTGCGACAGTCTGAGATTCGATTACTCAGTCTTTCCATAACTGTGTCACTGGTTGGATCGTTGCCAAGTTGGCCCAAACCTCAGGGGTCCGAAGCGTAGCATTCTTATTCTCGTTTGGGGGTTAGACGATAATTGTCGTTTCGGAACTGATCGTTTCCTCTTCTCGCAAAAGGAAACTCCGACGTTCGACAGGATCTGCGTTCAATAAGTATCAATTTCGCTAGAATATCAATACATCCGTAATCCTTCAATGCCGGTGCTATGCGAAAAAATTTCGTCGTCCCTAAAATAATTGATTCCAATTATACCTTAGAACCGAGATTATCCGGTTCTCCAATATCACAATCATCTGTTATTAATACACTTTTTACCTGTAACCAGATCGATGAAAGGCAAATCATATGCAAAACGATTTATTCTGCAAATCAATCAAAATGACAACTAGTGATTTAACTGAGTAATTTTTCTATTATCTGAACATTTATGTCGCTTTGCCGGATAATCGTCCTCTTAGACCGGATAATCGAGATTCTACTGCACCATATGATAATAAATAATACCTTATAATGTATTATCAATGCATTTATATGCTAACAAGGTTTTTTTAATGTCATAAAATTAATGTCGTAACATTGATGTCATAAAAATAATTCCATAAAATTAACATCACAAAATTAATGTCACTAAATCAATGTCATATCGTAAACGTTATTAAGATTATAATGTTATTTTCGTATCGATGTATATGAGAAATACTGGTCCGTATTTTTCGCACGTACGCCATCGTTCGAGGATTAAACACAGCTAACTCCTGCTCCTCTTCCAAGATTAATAGATCCAATGGCTGACAGTAATCGTTCCGAATGATCCGCAAGAATCCTCGCCTTTCTCCGAAATTACGGAATCGCTCTCTCGATTCGTTCGATTCCTACGAAATTCCGATTGCAAGCGAAAAAATGTCGCGAGACCGGTTGTGCCATAGTTAGTATCGAAGGAGCAGATCACGGGAATTCAGGAAACAACGGCTATACTTCGCGAAGTACAGTATCCTTTAGAGGGAAATGCCGGCGTCCTCTGTTCGAGTGTTGCACCCTCTTTCCCATTAGGAGACGGAAAAGTGTCGCGGAATGCGAGTGCACGTTCTGTGAATGGAACAGGGAGAATTCTGTGTCCGTTTCAATTGATTCTTCGGCGAGGAATGCTGCGGAACGGCGTCGAAGTACGATTCAATCGAATTGCAGACTTCCAGAGAGCATGCTCGGAGTTTTATCAGACGCGGGTACGCGAATACGTTGATGGTCTTGCTATGTTCCGGTGGAACTGGATCTTTATCGATTGTTGTAGAACGAATCTTCATTACCTTTTACAAAATGAATCCTCGTTGATTCGCACATAATGGATCTCCGTTGATTCATACATAGCGAATCTTCGTTGATTCTGACAGAATGAGTCTTCGTTGATTCATACACGTTGGATAATGGTTCGGGAATTTGAACGAATTCATGAATCACAGATCTGAAATAAGAGAACACGTTGCAACGCGCCCATTGTACGGTTGAACGAAACAGGGAGCCAGTGTATTACAGAAAACAAAAGAATACGTAATCAACAAGGGTTTACATAGTCAACGCGTAAGCGTTTCGACCACTATTGGAACGCTGAACACACTAATCGGCGGGAAATTAGAAGCCCCATTAATACAGCTCAAGGCTGAATAAGTGCTCAACTTTTGGGTGAAATATTTGCTAGAAAAATGTGTGTCTTTCGTAGAGAAAAAATTAGTAAAGAGTTTCATCTCGACTTTTCCAACTCAGACACTTCGATTAAAGTTTTAGAGTATGCTGTTCTCAGAGATCAATCGATTTAAGGATTAATTTTTTTTTGATAGATTCTCTAGTGCTTTTAATGTTTATAAAAGTTGAATGAGTTTCCACAGAAGTACATTAGTGACTTTAACAGTTATAAACGTAGACATCTCGAGTTTCGACTGATAGATTCAAGGATAACTGCGAACTGCTGGCTTTCATGCAATGAGATCAACAAATTGGCATTACCTTTTGCAACAACCTAACATTTTATCACACGACAGGGGACTATTATCGGAACCTGAATCACATTGTAGCCTTCAGTGCTTCCAAACATAAATGCAGACAAATCGCGTACATCATTGACTCTGTATCAACTGTTAATCCTTTAGCTGTTCACGACGAATATATTCGTTATGGTGGCATGGTAATTGTAGGATCAGAAAGTTGGAAAAAATTAGTACGATATTTAATCGGAAGAAAATTACAAGAACACAACGATAAAAACTTTTAACACTCAACTTTTCTAAATCTTCATTGTACACCGTCTCATCTGAATCGATGAAACTAATACAAAACATAATCACCGTCGTTCTTCAGTTGCTGAAGAGCAGTGACGTATCATTCTGGTAATGATTCCTCATCCGACACGATTATTGACACAATTGTTAGCGTCACGACTCGTCTTACGATTTCAATTAAAATCTTTCCGCAATATGACCGTAAATTCGCGACACTTTAGAAAAATTGTATGATAACTTGGGTCACATTTGACTTTGTGTCCAAGTGTCGCATCGTCCGCTATCAGTGGAACATTTGTCGGACGACAAAGGGTAGAGAAAGACGTCCATTCAGCAACGTTCTCGTGGAGAACAGAACGATTCGAAGCCGCGTTATCCTCGAATCACAGAGAATCGCAACAAAATGGCCGAGCGAGTCGATCAGGTCTTGCGAATTGAATTTGATAGCAGCCTGATGGAGTACTATCGGGCGGAGAGTGCGTGCAGGATGATCTAGGAGCATGGTATCCGAGTTCCCGGAGGTGTGCGAGCCTCGGCAAGAAACTCGCTCATTGTTCGTCTCCTCCTCTCCTCGGGTTCTCTGCCGGCGACAGGTAAAGTGCGTGCACGCGTGCATGCGTGCCTGCATGCCGTGCACCGCGCGGCTCGCTGCATGTGCACACAGCGCGTAGACCGCATATAGCCGTCGCGGCGCGGAGCGGAGCGGCGCAACGTGCACACCGCTCGGCTCGGTGCAGCGTGTACCGGAGTCAGAGAGCCGCTCAGGGCTATCATTATGGCGGCAGTAGACACTCCCTCCTTATCGCCGGTTTCCAACGCGAGTCCCGACCGACCGACCGACCGAACGAACGAACGAACGAACGCTCGCAGCTCTCCGCTTCGCCATCATTATATTTTCCGCGGCGAGAAAGGACGCGCACACGCGCGGCCAGGAACACGCACACGCTCGAATCGGTTTCCATCGTACGTACAGGTGAATCCGGTCACCGTCGAATCGAATCTCTTCTCGCGTGCTTAAATATACCCACGCGGTCGGCTTTTGATACTGTGTAACCGATGGTTTAGGCGCAGAGAAACTGTATTACCCAGCGCCGGAAAAAAGCGATCGGTTTTTTGGGGTCCGCGGACCCCAGGACCAGAAGGGCTGGCCCCGGTTTTTTCCGCCGGCTAATTGCGGTTGTGGCCACGGTTTTGCGGACTGGATCCCGCGGAGCCGGGGTCTCTTTCCTTTTTTTTCTCTCTCGGGGATTTTTGATCGAGTATAATGAAGTAGCCGGCGGAACAATTAGCCAGTGAACTGCGGATCGCCGCGGCGGCGCGTGCACGGAGATCGGAATGAAAATCGAAGACACCCGCAAAAAGATGGTATGTCTTATTATGTGCAGTGACTGGCATGCGCGATCATTATGTAAGAATTGTGCAATGCACTGCAACTAATTGCGGGGAGTTGCGTGCCTCGCGAGTCAGTCCGAGGAAAAATTGAACAGAAGGCGCGTAGAAAATTCTGCCACGCTCTCGCGTTCCGCTCCTCGATCGTCTCGGATCGATCGCCGATATTCGCAGGTCCATTTCTCAGCATTTTCCAACGTTGCGCGGGCGCTTCGTCATCATTTCGTTCTCATATAAAGAATTCAAACTGAACAATTTCAAACGGGGTGTTCGTGGTTGGAAGGGTTAGACCACCCCTCGATAGTCAATAAAAAGATGACGTCTGCCTCGAATCAACTTCCAGTCCGCCGGACCTGAAGAATACTCTCTAACACGTGATTCTTGAAAAAGTCCGCTGATTAATGGACAGCGAATCTTTGCGCGACTTGTTATGAATGGAATAATTTTTTTACTGTTTATTTAATGTTTAGGGTAGTTTTTGCAGGGATAAAGAAA